CCCAAACCATTCTATGATTCTATGACTTGGTTTTTTGTGGAGTTTTTTGCAAGGTCAGTAGCTGTTTGATTTGACTTTAAGGCATCTTCAATCAAAAACTTTATATTATTTTTAAAGAACCCTGTCAAACTCCACTAACCTCAGTATTATCAGGATTTGGCCTGTAAAAAATTACCAGTTTTCTTTCATCCTAAAATACAAACCTTTTATTTTGTTTCATGATCTGTTCATGAAGTTTTTCATTCTGTGTGTGATAAACTGTATTGCCCTGTACACTGCCAAGTTACGTTACTGAGATAAATTACAGTAGATTCAAAAATGAGTCATGACAGTAGTGCAGTATGTCTTATGCATTGGCAGTAAAACACTTAAAACATGCTGGGAAATCTGAGATACCATGTGGATGAAGTGCACTTAAATATGAATTTTATGTAGATCACAGACAAGGCACCTAAGTGAACACAATTGCTAGTTACAAAAAGGGGGCAGAGGGAACGAGGTTTTACTCGTACTTTAGTCACCACTTATGTTTTGGGTCTTTGCAAAGAGATAACATTAAAAAATTGTAGTTCTAATTAGGGACTTCTTTTTCTCTATTTTTGTTAACAAGCAATAGCATATAGTTGTGTATAGAACTCTTGCATATAAGCCATGTACTTATTTTGTTGGCTGTTCATGAATTCATATATGCCACGTAAAAACATTGATTCCAAAGGGTTGCTTCATTTTCTTCATTGGAAAAAGAAGACACCACTGCCAGGACACCACTCCAAGTATTCTAGCCATGCTCATCATCTTCACCCCCAGTTACTGAAAAAATTACCTTATAAATATGACTGAAGTTATTCTCAGAAGTTTCTTTTTTACTTAGCTGAGTAAAAGCAGTAACTCTTCCTGGTTTTAAGTTGGATAGCAGAAGCTTAGAAGAATACCTAAGATCCTAGCCACGTTTATTTGACTGCTCACTTACATGCAGTGTCTGTCATTGGCATGCTCAGGGAGATGCGCAAGGGGAAAAAAATTTTCATCCTCACGTAAGACCTGCTTCTTTAAGCTACTGTGTATGTGTCCCAGTGAGAGACCACCTTCAGAGCAGGGAGTACCTGCTGTGCTTTTAGTATCTCATGACTGCAGCCAGAACTGTTTGGGAATTTTCTGACAAAACTCTGCAGTATTGTGAGTGATAACCTCGGGAAACTGAAACTTGTTGCGGGAGCACAGGTGCTGAATTTAGTAAGAGTTCTCTGGTCCAGAATGTGATTTCTGGTCAAATCCGAAAAAGAGGCAGAGTCTGTGAAGTTGTTCATGCCAGCTGCCCTATTAAATTATGTACTTTGAGGCTATGTTCTTGTTGCAATTTTAGGTGTCCTCAGCATCAAACTGTTATATGTACTGGATATGTCTGCTCTGTTGAAGTTGGTCCACTGTTGCATATGCATATTTTAATACATATGGGTTAGAATGTATACCTGACACTCACATTCTGAAATGCAGGTGAATACTGTAATCTGTACAGCCATCTTACCTGCCCTCTGGCTCAATCACTAATTTAATTATTTTTGCAAACTGGAACACGTCTTGCAGGAATTTGAGAGCAACAAACCCTAATACAGCCAGGACCTGCAATTAGTATGTTTAACTGGGGTCTCAGAGTTTGGGATATCAGTATAAATCAGATGTAGAAGTTTGGATCCATACTTCCTTCATAATAGTTGATGTGCTTGTTGATGGGGCTATTGGTTCTTCAGGGGTGTAAGGAATAATGAGGCTGTATGTGTTGGATTTATTAATTTAAATGCACATTTACTTCTTACACTTTTCTTTCATCCTGTGTCTTCCAAAAAGTATCATCTATGTGTGAAATAAAAACCATTTGTAAAATTGACTGTGTTAAGTATTTATCCACAGGGCTAATTATTAGGTCAGGCCAAGAGGTCTTTTTGCTCAGCAACCCATGTTGGGGTGAAAAGAGAGTTCAGAGCTGCCAAAGCATACTTAATCCTTTTTCTTTTGTCTTCTCTTTAAGCACTGGATGTATTTTGGGAGTAGGACTTGTTCTTTCACTTATGAGTCACAGTAGCCAAACAGAATCACGAGTGCATGTTTCTGCTTCACTGCGAAAACTCTGCAAATACCTGGACAGCAGTGAGGACCAAAGCAGATGGGTCCAGGAGGTATGACCTATTTTATTGCAAATTCTAAATCTTCTTTTACTTTGTTGCCTCCCTTTAATAACTGTACACTTTTTTACTGAAGCTTTGTATCTTTAGTACTGGAATGCTTGGTTTCTATCATTTATTTCACAATATATGGTTTTATATCTGCTAAAGAAAACAATAATAATAATAATAGAATAATCTGTAATGCTGCACAAACATTAAGAAACTGCCTGAAAAGATAACAGACATCATTCTTTAAAGTGCTTCTTTAATTCCTTAACCTCAAATTAAATTTTTGAAAGTTGGGTCCTGACTAGCTGTGGATATGGGTCTCTCATATACAGTTCTTTACTGTTCGTCTGATCTACTAGAAAGCACACAGCAAGTTACTTTCAGAGAGAACCCTAATGCTAATGCTTCCTCCTTGAATATGCCTCCCGTTTCCTTCTTTGAAAGCTGCTGTAACTAGCTAATGTGAATCTTGCATTTGTGAATGCTGCTATGGCCCCATTTGGCGTTCTCTTTATAACTATGTTTTGAAGACTTAAACTGAACTCTGCTAAGTTGGAGCATGCATTTCAATTTATTTTGCCAAAACATGTCTTTTAAGTTTTGATGTGGTCCGTGCACTAAGTCTATAATCTTATTGAGGTAAAACCTGAGAAGGAAAACTCATGGAATTGGAGGAGTTTACAATGGAAAACAAGAATCAGAATAAGCAGGTGTTTTGCACAAAAACAAGCAACCCTGTACCTGATGTATGTAAGCCTGCACCAGCTGAACAGCTGAGTTGCATAATCCTGTGGTTTTTCTAAGGGAATTAGCAGAGATTGGTAGTATTATTCTCTTTCCCCTCTTGGTACTGCTCTGAAAGCTCTTTATTAAAGGTCATCTTTTATGGAGTTTAATTTTTTTGGCAGTACATATGTGTTGGGGATTAGCCTTTTGCAGTTTATGGTTCATGCATTAAAATGAACTCAGAGCTATGAAATCATTTATCTCTCCCCAGAGATCTCAAAGTGCTTTACTGAACTTAAACTAGGTTCAATATAGCAACTTCTGAGATGAAAGGCAGCAGCTGTTTAACATCATGAGATAGATTGGGCTGAGAAGCAAAATCTACCCTTTTCAATTAAAATCTTTGTAAGGAATTGTACAGACAATTATATATGAGTAAAATTTGGCCAGCAAACTACTGAATACTACTATATTTATGAGATGCCTCAGAGGTTCTTTTAGAGCTGTAAATGGCTGGGATATAATCCTGTCCTTGAGAGGTAACTTTGGCCTGCTGCAGCAAGAGGTACAATCTGAGCATTACTTGCTCCAAGTAAAATTGTGGCCAATCCTGCACAGTAGGTAGGTGCTCTCTACTTCCATTATAGTCGTGTGTTGTTCCATTGCTTATCTTTGGTACAAAGGAGGTTAAACAGTTGGCACAGTTGCCTTGTTGAAAGTTCAAACTTCCTTTATTCTCCATGTCTAAGGCTAAAGAACAGAAAAACAGTGTCACTTGTGAATCCTTCTGCAAGGACGCAAGGCCAGTCATGCACTGTGTGGGAGACAGTTCTAGTACATGCTTCTCTTCCGGCCTTGCGGACCTGCTTGTAGCCCTGATGGGATCACAGCATGCTCTGTTATGTTCACGTTAATAATGATCAGATACTTGTGTTGAGAGAGTAACTACATTTGTGTGGAAGATCGGGAGTTTTACCTACATAAAACCAGAAGCACTTCCCAGCATTAGTTGTATTTGTTTAACGTTAGCATCAGTGAAGATTCTTTCAGGGAGGGAATAAACATCTGGAAGTATAAATTGAAAATTGCCCAGAGAACTTACAGGTGCCCCCTCCCTGGAAGTGTTCAAGGCCAGGTTGGATGGGGCTTTGGGCAACCTGGTCTAGTGGAGGGTGTCCCTGCCCATGGTAGGGGGGTTGGAACTAGATGATCTTTAAAGGTGCCTTCCAACCCAAACCATTCTATGATCCTGTGATTCTAAAATGGTTTTTTATTATGCTGGCACATTACTCCATGTGCACATTGCTACAATCAATTTGATCAGACACTGGTTAACAGAATTAAATACTTTTTTTTTTTAGGTACTTGCCTATTCTGTGGCCTGTTCCTGTGTCTCTGCTTTCAGTGTTGGAATCATAGAAGCAGCTGAGGCTGAGGAGGCCATGAACAAGCTACGGACCTTAGTGGAAAATAATCAGCAGGTCATAATGCAGTGTTTGGGCTTTACTTCACTTCTGGTTTTCTCTTACCTGTTTAATACTGCTTTACCCAGACTGTAACTACAAGAAAATTATATTAATCTACTTTCAGCATTAACATTGAGCATGTTGTGCATACCGTGCAGTTATCAAGACTACCACCTGATCCATTGATGCATTGTCTACAAGCATATAGCAGTTGCCACACAGTGAAATAAAAACAGATTTTATATGTTTGATTGCATTTAGAAGGGAAGTTGGTACTTTTGAGTTCTTCATGTCTTTAATCCTTGCGTCCTGCCAATTTTTGTCTCTTTTATAACATGTTTCTTCAGATTCTTTTTCTTGGTAGGAAAATACATCTACTGTGCTCTTCTGAATTTTTGCTTTCCCTTAGCCTCCAGACAGTGCATCATAGCCACAGCTTCCTCCAGGTGTCTGTTTCATCCCTAGTGTCCCAGGGTTACCCTCAAAAAATGCCAAAAACAATCTCCATATTTCAGTGCTTGTTCTTTTTTGTTAAATGCTTGCCAAGCAACCATTTTAAATCAAAGCCTGCTACTACACTAATCAACTGTTTAGAATGTTATCTGGAAAATAGGAAGTCAAAACAAACTACCTTTGCTACAGTTTTTTATCTCCATATCAGAAAGTCTGCAAAATATCGCAGAACAGTCTATGTGCTAGTATTCAATCTTAGAAAATCCTATGTCACTTGACATAAGAAAATACTTGAAATAAGAAAGCATCCAGTGTTTTAGACAAAGACATTACTTCTAATTATTGGGAAATAATAAATACTTAAGTAATCTTTCAATAATAAATATTAAAAAGAATACAGAATCTTTTGAAAGATCTGGTTTTTAATGTGCCTTTTTCACTTTACAGACCCACAGTTTTGCTTTAGCTCTAGGTGCAATAGTACATGGCTTGTCAGCTTGTGGTCATGGGAAAGCTGAAGACCTGAGTAACAGACTACTGCCAGCCTGGATGAAAATTGTGCTTGCAGAGGTAAAGCAGTCTTAATTCCTGTTTTTTGTAGGAGGGGGTGGGGGTGCAGGTGTAATTTTAAATGAACAGTAGGGGCATAATTTTCCTTGCTTCTGCAATTGTCATGCTAGGAGAAGTTAGGACTATCTGAACATGCTGTTTGATTGATATTTGGAAGCAAAAATACATCTTTGGACTGTTTGCTAAAGAAAAAAACCAACTATTTCTCTTCTGCTTATATGATTGATGGGAAATGTTTATCATAATGAGATCTTAATTAGGACATCTCTACTAATTTGGAACAATATCCAAGGCTAAAATGTAGGTTATTAAATGAAGATGCCTTGTGAAATTAGGTGCTACTTATCAAAATTAGACTAACAGAATGGTGATTATTGTGCCTCAGTTGTTATGATAATTTTAATTTATTTCATTGTAACAAAAATTGCATGTTTGAAATCAGACTCTCAACTTACACATTAAGATTGCCACTGAAGGTAAGCATCAATAAAGAAACAGTGTTTCAGAGTTGAATTGCAATGGTATATTTTGTGGAATATAAACTGTGTTAGGAGAAAGTGATTTGTCAGGGAGAAATGCATGATGATTTCAAATGGGGAAAGGTCCATATAAAGTCTTTGACCAAGAGGGGGATGAATAATTATCCAGGATGTTGGAGGCTGACCTGAAAAGGTTGTGGGATGAGAGGTGTAGAAGTGACAGCAGTCATGGTTTTTAAGTTGGAAGAAACAGTAGCGTTGTGTGACCACATTGACTCACTGATCCTGAATTACACTTCCAGGGCTCTCCAACAATGCAGCGTCTAGCTGCTGTCAGTGGGCTCGTTGCACTGGTGGGCTCTGAAGGAGGCATGATACAGGTGAGAACATGCAAGGAAATGGTACCTTTATCTCTTCTAGAAATTTGGTTAGAAGGCAAGATGGAATAACATCCTCCGCATCCTTACAGCAGTGGTTATATACCGGGGCATCCCATTTATGCAGTTGTGAGTCATGTTGGGTATGAACCAAGTAGGATAGAGTTACAATGTGTAAAATGAGGTCTGTTCCATTTTCCCATCATATAGTCGATGTGCAGTGCCACTGGAGAAGAGGAAAGCCATGCAGGCTTTCTCCTTTTCTCACCCACTCCCCCACAAAAAGGCATGTGTGCAGATGTAATCTGTCTTTTCAGCACCTGTCCTCTGTTTTGTTAATTCCTTTTTTCCCCTTATAAAATTCACATCATGTTTTTTATTTTTTCTTTGGCAGCTGAAATCTGAGAGCATCCAGTCCTCCCAATTTCAAAGTAAGCTGAATGAAGTCATCAGAGCCCTTACACAGGTAAGAAGGTAGCCTCTGTTTCCTGCTTTGGATAATGCAGTGCTAGAGTACAGTTACACCTTGCACAGACAGGCCAAATCTGTTTAAAGAAACTGCATAATGTCTGTGTCCAGCTTGAATGAGGCAATGTAGGGAAATTTGTCTAACTAGCAGTTTATTGTGTCTCAACAGATAATCAGTTTTTCAGGGCAGGTTGGCCTTCAGACAAATGCAGCAGGACTTTTGGGACGTCTTCATATGTCCTGTTTGTCTTCTACTCAGAACAGGGCATCCGGTAAGATGCTTTATTATTGCTGCTTAAAGAACACATAGAAGTAGCACCTAGCTAAAACGGCACCAAGGGACACATTAGACAAAATAGGATAAACATTGCAGCCCTATTACATGATGTGACAGCCTTTGAATCAGAGACCTCACGGTGCTGTGTGTGCTAGACCTAAAGGTTGGAACATGAAGCAGGAATCAGTGTGCTGAAGAGGATCCCCCCATCCACTTTTACTTGCAGTATCAAAGTAAGGTTCTAAGTTGTTCTGGTCAAACTTGTATATTGCTTCTGGTTTTATTCTTTTATAGAATAAATTGTAAAGAAGTTTTACACTGCATATGGCACATGCGTTTGACATCTACATTATTCACTCCATGCTCTGAGAATCTACTCTCTGCTGTAGCACTTCCCATGGTATAAAAAAGTCAACACTTAAAAACTGAATCATAACAAGAGCAAGCAGACTTTTCAAAAGTATTTTTCCAGAAGAGATCTTCTCTCATTAGCTGAAGTAAAAAAACCTAGTGTTCTGTGCCCTTTCAGTATAGCAATTACCACAGATATTCATATTCTGACAATGCATAATTACGTTCTGGTGTTTTTTCAATATTCATTGATAAAATAAAAGTAGGATTACACCATTGATAAAATACCAGTAATTGGAGGGAACTAATGAAGTGGAAGCTGTTCATTTCGGTATGAACAAAATTGGGAACCAATAATATGAAGTGCAGATAAACTTCTTCATCACAGAAAAAAGATTCTTGGAGTTTCTACTTTTGTATAATCTTGGCACATGTGCCTCAGATTAGATAGATATGGAATTTCTCTGTTGTATTAAACTTAGTAAGCTTTTGAAGCTCTCCCTTTTAAAGCCTGCCTCGCAGTGGCTGATACATTTTAAGGAAATTCTTATCCATGGCTTTTCAGTTGGTCAATGAATTTGTTTTTTCATACCTGACATCTTTCACCAACACAAATGTTTAGCTTGCCTTCAAAGTGGAAAGGCCAGTGCATCTATCAATAATCTTGTGGTCTAAATACTTTGAGTCACCTACATAATTAGTTAGCTCAAACATAGCTCAGTTTGGCCTTTGAATTTACATGGAACCTGTAAGTTATAATTTCTGCTGACATGTTTTTTTGTCTTCACAGTTCCTCCGGATTTTAGTTACTTGCCTGAAAACAGCTTTATCAGGGCAGCTATTGACTTTGCCATTGAAAGTGGAAAGAAAGGTAAGAAGGGATCAAACTACTGTATCCCTTTGGGAAATTCGTTATGACTATAAAAGGTTACCCTAATAACCCACTTTAATTTCCTAAGAGGACTTTTCTAATACTAATTGAAACTTCACTAATGTGGGATGTTCAATTTCTAAAAAAAATAAATTTAATAACACTCGAAAACATGAAGTAGAATTGTGTGGTTAGGTCTTTAGTTTTCTCCACTGAATTTTTACGACTTTTAAATACTTTTCCCTTTCCTCTTCCCTCTTTGTCTGTGAGATCATGTATCTTCCCTGTGGGAATGAAAGTCAAATAATTTTGAGCATTAGCATGTATCCACAGGAATACTCCATCATCAGGCAAACTTTATGTTGCCCCTTATTTCAGTGATTCTAGGAAGATTCTCTGTAACAGTATTCAAATGGATTACTGCTATGATTCTGTCCCTCTACTCCACTCTCGTGAGACCCCACCTGGAGTACTGCATCCAGCTCTGGGGTCCCCATTACAAGAAAGACATGGAGCAGTTGGAGCGAGTCCAGAGGAGGGCCACGAAGCTGGTCAGAGGGCTGGAGCACCTCTCCTATGAGGACAGTCTGAGAGAGTTAGGATTTTTCAGCCTGCAGAAGAGAAGGCTACGGGACACCTTACAGCAGCCTTCCAGTACCTGAAGGGGGCCTACAGGAAAGCTGGAGAGGGGCTGTTTACAGGGCCATGTAGTGGTAGGACAAGGGGTAATGGGTTTAAACTGAAAGAAGGTAGATTTAGATTAAATATTAGAAAGAAATTCTTCTCTGCGAGGGTGGTGAGGGACTGGCACAGGTTGCCCAGAGAAGCTGTGGATGCCCCATCCCTGAACATGTTCAAGGCCAGGTTGGATGGGGCTTTGGGCAACGTGGTCTAGTGGAAGGTGTCTGTGCCCATGGCAGGGGGGATTGAAACTAGATGATCTTTGAGGTCCCCTCCAGCCCAAACCATTCTATGATTCTGTGTGTGATAAATGCAGAGGAACCTAAAGAAATTATGCTCTTGCATGAGGAGTGCTAGGAAGAGAGAGATGTCTTGGAGTACAGTCTTAAGGGAGATGAAGCAGAGGAGATTATTCCTATGTGGAGCTGAGTGAGCTCACTGCTGTCCTGTGAAGCAGGCTTTGCTTTCAGTGGAGGTAAAAATAGCCCATGCCTTGCCTTCAGGAGGACTTTCACTGAGTTATCTCCCTGTGTTTAAGTAACATATAATGTAACAAAAGTTAGCACCTGTCTGACAATTTTTGTGGCTTGCACCTACAGGATGGGGAAAGAGAGCAGTGTCAGAAAACTTCACTGTTTTCCTATTCTCTTCCTAAATGCAAAAATCCTACCCTACGAGATGAGGAATATCTGTAATTAACTCATAAATTGGTTCAAGAGGAAGGAACCAGAAAGTTTATCAGTAATGAAAAGCCTTTTTTGATAGGACATTAATGTTAAAAATACAACTGTGGATTACAAACAAGGATCACTAATTCTCAGAATCAAAAAGAAATAATAGTAATTTTGTAATGCTTTTCAGTTTTTCACTACAGATTCGTCTTCTGTGCAGTGTTCACATTTTTTCCCGAGCTGTCTAGCCAAATGTGTGTGTGTAAAATTCAGACTGTGACTGAATCTTCTGTTGTAGGCCCTGAATCCATCCCAACTGAGCTGGTGAAAGTAGCACTGGCACCCATTGCATTAGTTGGAGAAAGCCATCAGTATCCACCTGTAAACTGGGCATCCATTCTTTCTCCTTTGATGAGGCTAAACTTTGGTAAGATTAATAGTTTTCTGTTAAGATTTTTGTACTTGTCACACAACTTCTTTACTAACACAGCTTTCACAGACTTTAAAGCATACTTCGGGGCTTGAAGTTATTCCAGGGATTGAAGTGTTTGTTATGCTTTGAAGACCAACTTTTTAATGTTTGCAAACATGTATTTGTGATCACTGCGTTAACACAGTTTAACGCAAGACTAGAGGAGATCAGAGCTGAGAAGTTTGGAGCAGTATTGGAAGTTCCCTAAAACACTGGTGAAATTGGACCAAATTTTTCATTTGAACTATTTACAGTAAGAAGAGCCCATCATGAAACTCTAATTGTATCTCATTTTCAGCATCCACTAAATGCTGGTTCAGTGCCTGTGTCAGAGGCTGCAGGCAGCTTTATCACAAGTTTGAACTGCTCTGTAGCACATTTAGCTATCAATAGTTTGAAACGCATTTTCTACTAAATTACACTGGGTGACAGAGGAAAGCATATCCCTTTCTTACATCATGATCCTGATTTTGTCAGTGCTTCTAAGAGCATTTTCTCTTCACGCTGGAGAGTAGCTTTGGTCCTGAAGTATTATGTTGGACAGCTTGTATGATATTTTTCTACTCAGGATATCTGTCTGTGCCTGTTTTGGTTGATAAAAGTGTCTGACTTTCAGACTCATTTCCTTTAAAAAACCCCAACAAACTACTATGCAAAGTTCTGTATTCCCTTGTTTGATTCCACTGAGTTTTGTTTCTCCTGATTTATGTAACTGTTACTACTGGCCTTGCAGATTCTTTTACAGCTGGGTTGGGCAAGTGCTGTTGTGTTTAAATTGATGTGCTGTAGAGCCCAGAACATGGAAGGTTGTTCTTATTTCTTTCTGGTGTTTATTTTACTGAGACAGTGCTTATATAAGCACTAGAAATCATTGAACTGCCCTGTGAGGAACAACTACTTGCTACATACAGAAAGATTTGGCTACATGTTAAGTATTTTTTGTGTATACTTGAACTGTAATTTCTGTTTTACTTGGAATTCTTGCAATTGATTGTAACATCTTCTGTCAGAATAAGTGAAAGAATTTCCTATACTGAGCTCTGCAGTCCATGCTGATGCAAATTTGTGTGCAATCTTATGAATAGCTGAAACTAGTTAAATGTATGGGGGATTTTTTTATTCCTGTTTTTCAATTAGGAGTCTTACTTTTGTAAATCAGGGGAATTCCAGAGGAAACAGTACATCGTTTTTTGTGGCTATGTTTTCATTGACTTCAGACAGCATCATAGTCTACATTTTTATACATTTTAGGTATTATTACTTAATAGTCCACCTAGAAATCTAGCACTCTAACACACTTTTTCTGGAACAGCTATATCATGAATATTTTAATGAAAATTAGACTATATGCTCAATTCTCTCAGATTCTTTAGGTCACTGTTACTCATGCCTGAGAATTCATGACTGGTTTTATGAACCTTAAATGTTTCACAGATTCTGCTGTGAAGATTTGTTCATCTGTAAACATCTTGAAGGCAACAGATTGCTTACCCATCTTACAAGGTTTATTGCAGTTGTTGCTGAGCAGAAACCATATGACATGATTGAAATAGTACCTTATTATTTGTTATTCAGTAGTGCTCTGCAGTGAACAGTCATAGGCAAATAGTAACTTGTGTCTTCACAGTCCAAGCTAGTGAGAGAGAATTTTTGAATGGGTTACCGAAGTATCTTGTTACATTTCACCCTCTCCCTGTTCTGCAATTTACTTAACTTCTCATATAAGATATTTTATTTCAAAGAGCTTCATACTAGACTCTTAAATATTTGCTTTGTTCATGCACTAATGTTAGTGAACTTTATAAAAGTCATACTATATAGATTGCGATCTTCATTACTGAAAGAACATTTTAAATTACAAAGCACATATTTAAGTTTTATGCTAACGTTTAACAGTAACGTATCTTCTGTCTAATGGGTCAAATGCTAGTATAATACTTAAATTGTTTGTCTGGATGTTTCCGTACCAGTCATGTACTATATGGAAGCCATGCCATTGCTCAAAGTACCTCCTCAACGTATTTATGACTAAATATTCTATTAAGAAACAGGCTGTGCCAGTCATTAAGGGGACTTGAAAGAGAAACCAGTAAGGTTTCCATAACCATTATAACCTCTATATAGAATCATAGAATGGTTTGGGTTG